GCAATTGTTCCATCGACAAAACCGAATCTTCTTTCGTGCTCGAAGAGCTGTTCTGAGTGAACGAGCCCATTCATCGTAGTTTTCTCCCTTTAATTGCACATGAGTTATCAAACTTCCAGGATTGTCGTTGGAAGTGATATCATAAGGGGAGATGGTTTTTCTGATGACAACTCCATCGCCATTGTTAACTGTCTTTTGTGCTCTTGCTATTTGCTGAAGCTGCAGAGAGTCTTCGGTATCCGACATGATTCAAACTGGCTTTGTTTCTATTATGATATTGCCGCTCTGATACCATAACAAATATTAGTTTGTAATGGGATGCTTTTCATTGATTCTTGATCTGATATATATACACGTATAGGGTTGAATATAATATCTAATCATTCTAAATTATAGTTGTCTAATATTAAATCATTTCCATATAAACTGATGCTAAGAATAGTAAAATGAAGATATGTGCAGCTAATGTCATAATGTTGCTGTTATGACATTATCTTCACATAATGTGATGTTATGACAGCATCTCATGATATTATTTTGGCAAGATATCAGTTGCCTAAGAGACATAGAGTTATGCAGAAAAAAAATAATGTTTAATTTACAGTATATTTTAATCCTTAACTTTTGAAAAAAACCATTTTCGTCCTTATTTATTCAATCAGTGTCACGTTTGTTTTTTTTGGTTAGTTCTGTTAATCAAAGTTGATAATAATACTGTTTTGTCCACATTTTATCCACATGGTGCTTAGGTGTAAATTAAAATAAATAACTAAAAAGAAAACTACTCATTTCATTTTTCAGGTTGACTTCAAATGCAAATACCTAAGAGAATAGGAATACGATGTAGAATGTTGGAAATTATTAATGAATTACTATATTTAATTATTATGAGTGTCTTCTAAAATGACAAGAAAATATTTATGTGAAGTTTGTATTTTGAATATGAAAATAGGCAACACTTTGTGAAGTGTTACAGTAGGTAGTTTGTAGTTTGAATCAGAAATAGGCAACACTTCGTGAAGTGTTGTAGATTGTGAAAACAATACAACCTTTAACATTGTTGCTGTAGAAACAATACCCCATTTTCAAAGTGCTGCTATAGACTAAACAATATAACATTTAACAAAAGTGTTGTTGAAAGTGTATGTTTCATCAAGGGTCGCAACCTTATGAAACAACACCACTTTGGTCTATAATTGAGTATTATGGATTCAGAAAAATACATTTGAAAAGTCTATCATCTTCACCAAAATTTTAGACACTCTTCGCTACATTCGAGTTTTCATCGGTCTTACGCAAAGTCGATAAAAGGCTGAATTATCTTGAATATTCTTACGTTCCAACTCTAAGACATATTTGAGAGTGCTTGAAATACTTATAACAAAAGTGATTCCCTTTACAATTCTAGCCTCGATCCATTTGACTTAAAATCTTTTTTCTAACAATCTTATAAGTATATTGTTTTATGACAGAGAAACTTTCTTCTCAAGCATCAAGGATTAACTGTTGTGATGTGGACACATTTTAAACACAAGAACAATCACTATTATGGATTCAAGATTTCTGTTTCAAGCAATCCATTTTTAAATTAATCTATTTTATTCACGTTAATTCATTTACGTTAATAACATGAAATGAGGCAAAATATGAAATTTGCGATGGGTTAAAAACACGACCCTTGGCGTAAACGGCGACATCTTTCCCAATTGAAGCAACACACCTGTTTGCCATAACTTTGAATGTGAAACGTTAAGTACGTTCAGACAACAATATCGATGGAAAATAAACCCCCATGTTTATCTGTATGGTGAAAGAGAATAAGAACTTCGAGATTTCCACAAATTAAGAATTTCGTGAAGAAGATTCTCGGCGGGTATTGAAACACAAACTAAAAGTTTGTCCATGATTGTTGAAAAACAACTCGAATTTAGAATAAGTAAAAATCTGAAATGCTAAGGATCTAGGACCGAGTAAAATCGCTTTTCGACTTATTTCTCTTGTGTAGAAGGAAATAATGAGAATTTTATCGTAAGACTCCTATTATTCTTCAAGTGGAA